AAGTTCCCTGCCCTATAATGTATTTAATTATAGCCCCCACCCCCCAGAAAACAGTAAAACAAACAACTTTAGCTTGACAGAGTTTTTGGACGAGTTTCTTGTTTTATTGAAACGCGTTAAGTTCCCTGCCCTATAATGTATTTAATTATAGCCCCCTCCCCCCAGAAAACAGTAAAACAAACAACTTTAGCTTGACAGAGTTTTTGGACGAGTTTCTTGTTTTATTGAAACGAGTTAAGTTCTCTGCCCTATAATGTATTTAATTATAGCCCCCTCCCCCCAGAAAACAGTAAAACAAACAACTTTAGCTTGACAGAGTTTTTGGACGAGTTTCTTGTTTTATTGAAACGCGTTAAGTTCTCTGCCCTATGATGTATTTAATTATAGCCCCCCCCCCGCCAGAAAACAATAAAACAAACAACTTTAGCTTGACAGAGTTATGTTTTTTTTCCTGCTACGTGTAAAACCAGTCCAGTCTCATCACAAGTTTACTTAAAATTGAGAAAATAAAAATCTAGAATGGAAGTTTGTTTGTTTTCGAATTTCGCGCAAAGCTACGCGAGGGCTATCTGCGCTAGCCGTCCCTAATTTAGCAGTGTAAGACTAGAGGGAGGGCAGCTAGTCATCACCACCCACCGCCAACTCTTGGGGCTACTCTTTTACCAACGAATAGTGGAGTTGACCGTCACAATATAACGCCCCCACGGCTGAAAGGGCGAGCATGTTTGGTGTGAGAGGGATTCGAACCCGCGACCCTCAGATTGCGAGTCGAGTGCCACCTGGCCATGCCGGGCCTGAATGGAAGTAGTGTTTACATAACACTTCTTAGAACCCGGATGAACACAAACTTTTTCACAATTTATAACCTTGTTTTAGAACATAAAGTAAGGTGACTGTTTAGTATGATAAGTTTACAATCAAAAACACGTCTTGCAAAACAGATTGGTATAGTTTGTTCACCTTATGCACACAATGGGATTAACGGCCAGTTCAAGGACCCTCAAGGCCCAGGTTTCGCTGACCAAAATTATAAACTGCATACCAGAGAGAGGGCAACCAGTTGACAGCACCCATCGTCTGAGGCGGTTACTATTAACCGAATAGCGGTATTAACTGTCGCTCTCATGACGTACCCACAGATGAAAGTACAAAGCATGTTTGGAAGCATTGCGTCTCAAACCCGAGACCTATAGATAGCCAGTCCAATAAGCTAGCCACTAGGCTACGCTCGGATTATAAAATAGTTTTACCATACCTTTTTTTTCAAGATAAAATAGTGTAATGTTGCCTTACGGTTTACCTAACAATGAATCATAACAGTTCTGCCTATTCCAAGATAAAATAGTGTAATGCTGCCTTACGGTTTACCTAACAATGAATCACAACAGTTCTGCCTATTCCAAGATAAAATAGTGTAATGTTGCCTTTGCCATAGATAAACCACTACGATATTGATAAAGGAAAACAAATAGTTTTCGGCTAAAGGTTAATCAACAGAAAATCTTAGCTCTGTCTATTCTTTAAAGAAGAAGAAAAAACTGACCTTTCTAGAGGGTCTGTGGTTCCTCTTCTTTTCTCTCTCTCTCTAACAGAAACGAGTGGAGATCTTTAATATTTCAAGCTACGGATACCATTTGGTAGCTGTCCTCAATACAAGCGTGTAAAAATTTAATGCCAGATCTAGTTAGTACATAGAAAATACTCAAACTGTCTTCCTTAGGAAAGAAATGTTTACAGATAGTTCAAGAAACAACGAACATTTTCCACTTCGATATAGAGTTTCGTCACTGAGGTTCCTCTCGCGCCGACTATGGGTTATTCATAAGTAATGGGAAAGTGTGTGTGTATTTGTTAAATAAGAAAGCGTTATTAAGAACTAAAGAATTGGTCAGCTGACAAGTTGCTTGAGTGTTATCTATTCTTCGGTCCATTATCGCTCTCTCTTCTTGCAATTATAACCCGTGTTTTTAGTAGCTTCCTAAACGTTCACATACACCTTACACGCGTGTAATAATCTTGAAAAAAACAACAACAACAACAAAAACCAACGTAATACTTGTCCAGAAATCTAATATTCTGTTTTATAAAATTTCAAGTCAACGCTTTATAACTGTGCCGAGTGTTGCCCAGTGATCATACCTACCGGTCAGTAAAGGTGAGGTTTCCCCGGTTCGCGTCCCGTTACTACATAAAATATCACGTTTGGCACTTGGGGTATCTTATAAGAGTGGCGATCAAATCCTTCAATTCTATTTGACGAAATTAACCCCAAAAATGTAGCGGTTGGGGGGTGCTGTCTCCCCTTTAGTCTATCACTTCAAAATTAGGGACAGCTAGCGCAGATAGCCCTCGAGTAGCTTTGCGCGAAATCAAAAACAAAAAAGCTTTACAACTGTGAGTTCAACTTCATAAAAATAATCACCTTTTATCTTAAGTATCACTGAAACGATTGAGGAAAATTCTAATAAATTCTAATTGATTGATAAAATTGAACGTCTACAGAGATAACCATTAACGTATACGTTAATCAACTTAGTCATGTATGTTAAATCAACTTAGTTTTCAAACCGATAGATAGCCGTATTTCGGCAATTTCTTTGGAAAAATTGAACTAATTATTAGCGTTCAAGTCTCGTTCCACAAACTCACCTATACAGAGTTTTCCAAACTTTGGTTATCCACACCCCCTTTAATTAATATAGTCTCGTGCCCGCCCCCTATGTAATACGTGGATACTCATTAAAAATGCTAAATGTGTTGTAGTAATTACTTAGTATTTTAATTAATTAAAAATATATATATTAAAAAGCTTAATTTTGCATTATTATAGCACTATCGACTCTCCCCACCCCCAAATAAATTATTTGCACCTTCCTGGGGGGGGGGGCACACTTTGTGAAACGCTGGAACGTTTAATTTCTTTACATTAATTCAAATAACATTTAATGAGTGTAATAGACAGCATATAGTTATTTTTATTACTTTTATTGGATGTAAGTGTCTTGTATGACTCTTACAACTATTACTCGTGTATTAGTTTATTATCTAGCATTTTACTTTAAGTCATGCGTGAGTTAAGTATGACTTCAAATACTTTTACTACTTTTATTCATTCATGAGTAGAGTATCTCGCAAGACTTTTACTACTGCTACTCCTATATGTGTTAAGTATCTCGCATGACTTTTACTACTGCTACTCCTATGTGTGTTAAGTATCTCGCATGACTTTTACTACTGCTACCCCTATATGTGTTAAATATCTCGCATCACTTGTACAACTGCTACTCCTATATGTGTTAAGTATCTCGCAATGACAACATTCTACAAAATACTGTAATAGTTTTCCAATATTTTTTTATTTTATTAACAGTAGTACTTAACCATAACAAATTCTAACTGAGTTGAACAGTTTTTGTTTTAAATGTTTTGTTCTGATGAGCTGTGAATTCGGCGAAACTAGTCTGTTACAATAGGAGTAACGAATCAAAGAACAGATACATACGTATATTATATATACATACATACATACGTCTACATGTCCTTTTCTTCTGGGAAAAAATTCCTAAAATACCACTTTCTAGAAATAAGCACGTTTCATGACTAGAATTCTCTGTCTGCTGGTGGAATATATCGATCTCATCACGCGCGAAGTCGGAGTCGCAACATTAAACTTCACAAACCGAAAACTGCACATTTTTGCTTCTGGTACTACTAAAATAGCAAAACTAAATCGTTTGTTGAATTCCAGTTGTTCCGAAAATAATCGATAAATTTCCAACAAGTTGTTTTCTAGCTGTAGTAGATGAAATGAAGGATCAGATGTTTCACAACTGTAACAATAACAATTATTGCACTTCCAATCGTAGAAAACAATCGTTAATGTTTCCATAGTATCTATAATAATTTTGATCTTTCAAACAGTTAATAACTTAAGATCTGTGCCTTTTTTTTTCTATTTCTCCACTGTGAAACTATTCCCTTGGACACATATGCTATATAAAAAAATAGTGCTTAAAAGTAAAAAAAAGAAAACGCATTATATAATTAATGTCACTGACAAATAAGTATATAACATGTTATAATAATAATAAAGTTGTATTACTTATAATTGAGTTGTTCTCATTTTCGAATTGTTCCCTAGCGAGTCTCCGGGTCAAGAATCCTTCAGTTAGCGCCATCTATGGAGCATCAGGCGGCAGCCATGTTGAGTATCCTCAAGAGATATTTATGGCACCAGTTTTCCATCGTCACCACTCTTATAGGAGGACACGATGATTTCGTGCGTGCTGTGAGAGACATTGTTCTCGAGAGTACAGAATTTAAGTAAGATTTTAATGTTGCAGGCATGTACAACATTTTATACCTAAAACTGTATGCAACATCTGACATACACACTAAATAATAGATTATCTGACTGTTTCTTCAAAATGCAAACACAGTGCATCTCTTACACAGCTATAAAGAAACTACGGATTTAGTCAACGGATTGGCAGAGCTGTTGAAAAGATATATCCTAAAGGCTCATTTGAAGTTGCGTCGAAAACGTACTGCTTATGTGCTGCCCTCTGGTAAAGTTTTACAATGGTGATGGGAGAAGAGTATCCTCCTCATCTATTTAATTTTTTAACACCAAATCTTCTCCAGCGTGCTCTGCTGGATACATTTAATAACTTATATCTCAAAGTAAGAAGAAAGCATAAATACAACTCTATGAAATTAATTTTACTCGTTCCTCACCAGTTTCCGTTAGCACTCATCAGATTAACCCTTTGATTAACCAGTGTCAGAGATTAGGAAAAATCTGGAGTATGGATAAGGAAAAGTGTTCTTTACAGGCACATAATTATGTGCAATATATTTTCACTTCTATTGTATTGAAAAAAGAAAGAATTCAATTAATTTGCCCGAAGGTTAATCAAAGATACAATTAATTTGCCGAAGGTTAATCAAAGATACAATTAATTTGCCGAAGGTTAATTAAAGATACAATTAATTTGCCGAAGGTTAATCAAAGATACATAAATGACGATGTATATCGTCAAATATCAACACTTTATTTTTTAATACATTTCTTTACAAATGTATCGGTTATTTTCGGCAGTATTCTTTATTTTTTGATTTTCTTTCTTCTATAAAACATGAATTTCGGTGGAGGAAAGATGGGCCTAATCCATTCCTTGATTTGCTAATCTATCACACGTTATCCAAACGCCTAAAGTATTTTAGGTTATTAGTGGTGAGTATCCACAACAACCAAATTACTTACATTCCAACGTTATACGAGCCCTACTTTATTTATTTGCTTCGCTCTTTCGGGCAGTACTGAGTCGTGAATTCGGCGAAACTGATCTGTTGTGGCGGAAACAGAAAAGCAAAGAATTGATTAGGCCTATACGTCATCTTTTCTTTATTGAAACTGAAGTTTTGGTGAAGAACATAAATAAATAACCAGCTGAATAATGATGAATAATTAATTGTGACTGTACATCACGTGCTGCCCCCCAGTGGCACAGCGGCATGTCAGCGGACTTACAACGCTAGAATCCGGGTTTCTTGCTTAATTACATATAAACATCACGTGCTATCTAAACACCTAAAGTATTTGAGGTTATTAGGGGGTGAGTAAAGGATTATACGTCTAAACCAAACAAATTGCCCGTATAGTTGTTGAACAATCAAAGTTGATGCCTGCTCGTTCTGTTATGGTTGAAACGCCAAACCGATAGGCCTAAAAATTGTTACAGAAATCAAGTTAACTGCAGATATTTTTTTTTCAAATTCCTCTCTCAATTTGTCTATTGAGCTTAAAACGAGAAGTTAAAAATATAATTTTAGATCTATATCGTAACTCCCGCAAGTCGCTGGCCAAAAAAACGTTTCGTTTAATACAAGAACTTATCAGTTGAGCTGAACGATGATAGACAAGATACTCTACGTTCACGAAAAATCACTTTAGATGTATAAAACGTGAACGTTACCCGTTCAGTATTTTACAAGTTCCTGGAAAATAACGAGCTGTGTGTGAGGTGCACGAAATGTGAAATCCGAGTTCAAGTAATTTCTTTGTCATTATTCTTTCTCTATGTGATTCAACTCTCAGATTATAACATAAGCAAATCGCTCTGTAGATAAAATTGTACCTAATCTGATTCATCTCTCAGATTATAGCATAAGCAAATCACTCTGTAGATAAAATTGTACCTAATCTGATTCAACTCTCAGATTATAACATAAGCAAATCGCTCTGTAGATAAAATTGTACCTAATCTGATTCATCTCTCAGATTATAACATAAGCAAATCGCTCTGTAGATAAAATTGTACCTAATTGATACTCTTGACCGGCTATCTTCAGAATTAGCGGATTTAGTGGCTAATGAAAAAACACGAACAGAATTCTATATCTTTGTGTTATGTATGTTCGCCAAGACCCGGATTAGAATTAGAGATAATTAATATTTATATTATCGTATAGCTTTTTTTTTCTATGATTAGTTTTGTCTTGTAGGGTTAAAAATTTGATCCACCCGTCTAACCTCTTTCGTATTAACCTTTATTAACGTCTTTTCATCAACTATTTCACCTAGCAACTGTTATTCCGCATCATCCACTTTGATAATTATTATTCCAACTTTAATTCCAAGCCCTAAAACACAAACGTTCTCAATCATCCATCAATGTCAACATTTAATATATCTTATCATATAAGCTATACATACACCTGTATTATTTGTGGTGCTTTTCTTCAAAGTACGGTTCCATTGAGTGGAAAAGCTACTTATGTGGATCACGTGTTCCGTAAAGTACTATTTAAGTATTCACTTCAGATACGTCGTTGTTTTTACCGGAGGTGAAAATGCTACATTTTAGAACACTCTTTTCGTGGTAAAATTCATTTGGGAAATTCCTGCAAGTCATTGATTGTGTTCGATTGTTGATGAATAAGATGTTTTTTTTTTAATGTTTTCAGATTCAACATTCTTGACATCTTCGTGCTGAAGGGGAAAACGAGAGACGAAATACGGACAGAATTAGAGTCTTTAAAAAACAGTGATGCTCGAGTCATTCTTCTCTATGTTACGAAAGATGAGGGAAGTAACATCATGGGAGCAGCCAATGATCTGGGAATAACAGGGAAGAATTACATGTGGATCGCCACTCAATCCGCTGTTGGTTCAGGGATTGTAAACTATGCCCCAAGCGACTTTCCTATTGGCATGTTAGGTAGTACCTCTCTCCCCCTTCCTTTGAAATGCTTAAATTTTACAAACAAGTTCTGAAATAATTGAACAAGACGAAAAGAAATGACAATGGACAACGTTAACGCAAACAGAAAATGTAACTTTTAAAAAGGTAACCTTCACGGATAACGTCGCTCTGGGAATATCTCTTTTTTTGTAATTTAGCCCCCGCCCCTCAGTGGCACAGCGGTATGTCTGCGGACTTACAACGCTAGAATCCGGGTTTCGATACCCGTGGTGGGCAGAGCAGCACAGATAGCCCATTGTGTAGCTTTGTGCTTAATTACAAACAAACAAATAAATTTAGCCCCCAGTGGCTTAGTGGTAAGTCTGAAGGCTCATAATGATAAAAATCGGGTTTCGATACCCGTGGTAGGCACAGTACAGATAGCCCATTCTATAGTTTTTTGTACTTAAAAACAAACAAATAAAACGTGATATAGGTTTTATAAGATTAGACTAAAAGTGGCGTAATTAAAGTTCTATAAGATAAAAGCTAGTAGTATAACATTTCGGTTTAATCTATTGAAACTAAAAGTGGCGTAATTAAAGTTCTATAAGATAAAAGCTAGTAGTATAACATTTCGGTTTAATCTATTGAAACTAAAAGTGGCGTAATTAAAGTTCTATAAGATAAAAGCTAGTAGTATAACATTTCGGTTTAATCTATTGAAACTAAAAGTGGCGTAATTA